GACTGCACCCACATATGACCTACATGCTATCACCGAGCACATTTGAAGGGAAGTGAAAAGGCTTCTAAATAATTAACAGAATGACAAATCAGCTCAACAAACTACATCTTCATGCACATCTGCTGCTTTATTTTAAAAGTATCGTCAAACTTTGGAGTTTAGCAGATGTCTTGTGTAAATCAAAAATGTGCATCTTTTTGAAAACTTTAGCCTGTTGAAAAAATTATGAAGAAAACAATATTTATATATGCTCTCTACGGTGAGAGAGAACATATGATTTAAAAGTCGTTAAACTTTTTCTTTAACACCCATCATCTTTAACTTCTAGGCTGGTTAAATAAATAATAAATAATAAAGTTAGACGTCAGGATTTTTTTTAATTTTTTAATATGTGTTTACGCAGTTTATTAACTGTTCCCGCAGCAACAGTTTAGCTGTTTTTAACGCCCCTGAAACGTCTAATTCACTTCTATTTCCTTCTGTATTTGGAAATCGTCCTGCCATTAAAATCACAGTAAAAAAAATTCCCCGACAATGAATATGCTTTAGCAAATATGGTCCTAACTAGACAAATGATCGCTGATAAACAGAAGTCTGTCGACAAAGAGGATTTAAAGACGGCGATTAATCCAACTGACCCCAAATGGACCAACAGATGAGCTCATCCAGTGTAAGTTGACCTACTCCACATTTAAGCCTTTTGCACACAACTAAAAACCAACACTGCAGAAATGGTCAATATAAACAAGTGAATGAGCGACTGCCTTCAAAATGAGACTTTTCGTGATTTTTTCACAATCGTTCTTCAGTCGACTGATATTTTCAGCTTTTATTTAATTTTTTTTAACTTTTGGTTTTTGTCCGACTGAATTAGAAAAATCTATTTGTGCCAAAAGACAAAAAAAAACCTGTGATTTCTACAGATGATGAGAAAATGCTTCATTTTCATGTCTCAGCATCGCCACAAGAAATATTCTTAAAAAATGGCTGTAAAACAGTTCATTTTCCCATAAACGCCTTCTAAGATTTTACGCTTAAATTGTTAATATTTTGCTTTCTTGTGACGTATTTATTTCACTATATTTTCGTGCAAACTGTGACCAAAACTCCCTTTCACTGATGTCTTTTTAGCTCTTTAACATTTCCCTTCTTACAGACTGAATCAGAAGGACTGGCTATTCTCCACGCCGCGGCGCGTCAGGAGATTTCCTCGCGTTCATTCAGTCGGAATGGAGCATGACTGAGTTGGTGTGGCTTGCGGGTACTTAACATGAGGTAATACTGTGTGTACAGTGAACACACACATACACTGCCAGAGGCACAGACTTCAATCACACTAACCCTTGAGGGATCATCTCCTCTCGGCTCGTCTCTAAGGAGAGCGGGTTATTTCCAACGTCTTTGTCTGCTATTTACATTTTGGCTGTGGCAAAAGGCGGCGGGGTCTGTCCTTCAACTTCCACTGCCTAGTGCCCTTGGAGGACTGCTCACGGTGACGCAGCTGCTGACCTTATTCTGTCCTCTGAGAGGGAAAATAAAAAACGGCGAAGTGTGACATCTTCATTAAAGTCTCTTGAGGACCGCTGAAGTCACGCCACTTTTTCACTCAGTATAATTAAAACCTAACTGCTCATATCTCACCTGTTCGCATATGGCTTATGTGCACAGTTTGTGTAACATCGTGCGTAATAGTAATATGACATTTCCATTAAAGTGATCGGTCAAATTAAAAGCGCTCCGTTCTTCTTTATTTTCTTTCCAAAATGCAGAAACTACTTTAATGAATCTATAACTCAAACAGAAGAGACGCTGGTTCTTATTTTAAATATGCACAATCTCATGCCTCCTGATTCGATGCAGCGCTACTGAATGACAATACATAAAGGAAAGCTCTTCTCCAGCACGTTTGCTCCGCTCCTCTTTGGCACTAACTGACCCGTTGTTAATCCAACACAATGCAACAAATGTAGCGGCATCCTCTTATAGCGGCTCGGGGTGTCGGTGTGCAAACAGCATAATTAAAACTGCGAGACAAAGGGAGGATTTCACGGAACAGAGAGCGCTGGGATGAATGGTTCGGATTCAGTTA